AAAATTATTTACCTCCTGTAACAAAGGTGACTTTTTTCTTTTTTAAGTTATATTTTATTGATTATGCTATTACACTCATCCCAGTTTTTCCTGCTTTGCCCGCTCTACCTAACCCCTACCCATGCTACTGTCTATGTCTGTGGGTCATGCATATATGTTCTTTGGCTACTCTATTTCCTATGCTGAACTTTACATCCCCATGGCTATTCTGTAACTGCTAAATTGTACTTCTTAATCCCTTCACCTTTTTCATCCATCCCTCTGACCCTCCTTCCATTTAGTACCATTGAAACATTCTCTGTATCATTCTGTTTCTGTTCTACTTGTTTGTATATTTTGTTTTTTAGATTCAATTGTTGGTAGATATGTATTCATTGCCATTTTATTGTTTATATTTTTTAATTTTCTTTTTCATCTTAAAGAAGACCTTTTAACATTTCATATAATATTGGTTTGGTGGAAATGAACTCCTTTAGCTTCTTCTTGTCTGGGAAGCTCTTTATCCATCCTTTGATTCTAAATGATAATTTTGCTGGGTAGAGTATTCTTGGTTGTAGGTCATTGCTTTTTATCACATTGAATATTTCTTGCCAATCCCTTCTGGCCTGCAAAGTTCTTTTGAAAAATCAACTGAGAGTCTTATGGGGGCTCCCTTGTAGGTAACTAACTGCTTTTCTTTTTTTTTTCCCTTGAACTTTTTAAAAAATATATTTTCTTGATTATGCTATAACAGTTATTTCATTTTCCTCCCTTCATTCCCCTCCACCCTGCACACCCCCTCCCACCCACATTCCCCTGCTTTAGTTGATGGCCATGGGTCCTACATATGAGTTCTTTGGCTTCTACATTTCCTATGCTATTCTTACCCTCCCCGTGTCTATTTTCTTACATACCATTTATGCTGCTTATTCTCTGTGACTTTGCCCTCTCTCTCCTTCTCCCACTCCCCTGTTGATAACCCTCCATGTGATCTTCATTTCTGTGGTTCTGTTCCTGTTCCAGTTGTTTGCTTAGTTTACTTTTGTTTTTGTTTTAAGTGTAGTTGTTAATAACTGAGTTTGCTGTCATTTTACTGTTCATATTTTTATCTTCTTTTTCTTAGATGAACTCCTTTAATATTTCATATAATAAGGGCTTGGTGATAATAAACTCGAACTTGACCTTATCTGAGAAGCACTTTATCTGCCCTTCTATTCTAAATGAAAGCTTTGCTGGATAGAGCAATCTTGGATGTAGGTCCTTGCATTTCATGACTTGGAATACTTCTTTCCAGCCCCTTGTTGCCAGTAAGGTCTCTTTTAAGAAATCTGCTGACAGTCTGATGGGAACTCCTTTGTAGGTTACTGTCTCCTTTCCTCTTGCTGCTTATAGGATTCTCTCCTTAATTATAGTCTTGGGTAATGTAATTATGATGTGCCTTGGTGTGTTTGTCCTTGGGTCCAACTTCTTTGGGACTCTCTGAGCTTCCTGGACTCCCTGGAAGTCTATTTTCTTTGCCAGATTGGGGAAGTTCTTCATTATTTGTTCAAATAAGTTTTCAATTTCTTGCTCTTCTTTTCCTTCTGGTACCTCTATATTTCAGATGTTGGAATGTTTAAAGATATCCTGAAGGTTCCTAAGCCTCTCCTCATTTTTTTAAATTCTTGTTTCTCCATTCTTTTCTGTGTGGTTGTTTCTTTCTTCCTTCTGGTCTACTTCATTGATTTGAGTCCCAGTTTCCTTCCCATCACCATTGGTTCCCTGTACATTTTCCTTTATTTCACTTAGCATAGCCTTCATTTTTTCATCTAATTTGCAACCAAATTCAACCAATTCTGTGAGCATCCTGATTACCAGTGTTCTGAACTGTGCATCTGATAGGTTGGCTATCTCTTCGTCACTTAGTTGTATTTTTTCTGGAGCTTTGATCTGTTTTTTCATTTGGTCCATTTTCTTGTCTCAATGCCCCTGTTATGTAGTGAGGGGCAGAGCCTTAGGTGTTTGCCCAGGAGGGACAACCCAGTCTCTGGGTTATGGCCCTGTATGTCGGGCAGAGGTCTGAGAGGAAACAATGGCACTTGCTCTACTCTGTTGGATTTCAGTCACTTTCCCTGCTTCCCACAAGCAAAGTGGGCCCTTCTGGTTCTGATTCCCAGGTGGTTGGGCTTGTGTACATTTTAGGACCCTATGGGTCTCTCCAACGAACTCTCCTGTAAGGCTGGGAGTTTCTCCTGCTGCAGCCTCAACTCCCCACCAGTGTTTTCAATCAGCAGTTTGAGGCTTTATTTCCCTGGGCTGGGACCCTGGGTTGTGCGGTCTATCTTGCCCCCTAGTTGTTCCTCTTTGTTTATCAGCATGTGAATGTGGGAGTGCCCCATCCATCAGCTGTAGCCTTACCTGCCCTGCTCCACAATCTGCCTCCTCACTAGGTCTGCCAGCTGCCCCCTTGCTATGAGTCCTCTCAGCCTGACTGCTCATCTCCTGCCCCTCCTACCAGTCTGGATGAATGTGACTTCTTTATTAACTCCTTGGTTGTCAGACTTCCATACAGTTTGATTTTGTGTCAGTTGTTTTTAAATTGTTATTGTCCTTTTGGTTGTGTGTGGAGGCACAGTGTGTCTACCTATGCCTCCATCTTGGCCAGAAGTTTGGCCGGACTGCTTTTCTGTTGCTGCTTTTAAGATTCTCTCTTTGTCTTGGTATGGGCTTTTCTTTTGGTTCACTTGTTTGGGAATCTCTGTGCTTCCTGGACTTGTATGTCTATTTCCTTCACCAAGTGTAGGGGAGTTTTCTGTCATTTTTTAAAATAGATTTCAAATTTCTTGCTCTCTCCTTCCAGCACACCCATGATACTCATGTTGGTGCACATGAGGTTGTCCCAGAGGCTCCTAACACTATCTTAATTTAATTATTTTTAGAGAGAGGGAAACGTGGGGAGGGAGGACAAGAACATGAATGTGTAGTTGTCTCTCCCATGCCCCCGATGGGGGACCTGGCCCACAACCCAGGCATGTGCCCCAGTTGGTAATTGAACAAGCAATCCTTTGGTTTGCAGGCCAGTGGTCAATCCACTGAGCCACACCAGCCAGGGGTATCCTTATTTTTTTTTTCTTCTTGATCTTCTGGTTGGTGGTTTTTTGCTTCCTGATATTCCAAATGGCTGTTTTTATCCTTAACTTCATCCACTCTACTGTTAATTTCCTGTAAATTGTTCTTTATTTTAATTAGTATATCCTTCATTTCTGACTGGATCTTTTTTATTTTGTTGAAGTTCTCCCTACCATATTTTGCCATGTATAATGCACACTCATGGTTTTGTATGCATTATACCCATTATTATACCCATGGTATGTAATCATTATACCTATTATAACATGCATCGTTATTTTTCCCTGAAAATTTTGGGCAAAAAGTATGCATTATATATGGCAAAATAACAGTAAGTTCCTTGAGAATCTTTATAACCAGTGTTTTGAACTCCGCATCTGATAGCTTGCTTGTCTCCATTTTGTTCAGTTCTTTTTCTGGAGTCTTATTCTGTTTTTTTATTTGAGCCATGTGTCTTTGTCTCCTAATTTTGGCAGCCTCCCTGTGTTTGTTTCTATGTATTAGGTAGAGGTGCTACATCTCCCAGGCTTGGTAGAGTGTCCTTTAGGGTCCAGTAGCACAGCCTCCTCCCTATTATCCAAGCTGGGTACTTAAGTTGTGCACACTGTGTGGGCTATGTACTCCCTCCTGTTGTACTTGAGCCTTGATTGTTATTGACACATGCAAGGTGAGCCACCACCTGTGCTCGGTCCAGAGTCACACAATATAAGTTACAAAGTGATCTGCAGATGGCTGCTACTTGTGCTGGGCTTGGAGGTACCTATGAGAGGCCAATCTGAAGAGAGGCCAATCTGAAGCAAGGCCGATTGTTGCTACTGCTGGGTAGGGCAACCTAACATGAGTTATGGGGCTCACTGAAGCCAGATGCTGTTTGTTTGATTGAATTTAGGAAAATCTGAATCATGGGCCAAGATAATTCATTCATATAGAAAAGTCACTGAAAACACTTGGGTAGGCTCAAAATTTGGGTGCGGCAGAGCCTCAGGGAATCAGTAGGGTGTGAGCCAGGTTGCTGGAGTCTCAGATATGGTGCTCATCTGCTGGCTGTGTGGCTTAGTTTGGAGAGGGCTTAGAAAAGGAAACCTGGCCTCTGCCTACACTTCTGTCTGGTAGAAAAATGCACCCCTAGATCTGCCCCAATTCTGGACAATTCAGTTCTTCCCTGTATGTCTCTAATGCCTTAATCTTCTGCCTCCATGCTGGAGCTCAGAGGGAGTGAGTCTGAGCCTGAGTCTCATAGGTCCTTTAAGAGGAACAAGCAGGGCGTGCAGCTGTTTCTGTCTTCCACAGCCTCAATCCCCACCAATTTTAACAGCCAGAAATATGGTGACTTCTCTACCTGGTACTGGAATCCTGGGCTAGAGCTGGGGAGCTGGGACCCGTCACTCCTAAGATACCCCGGTCAGTTTTTATCTGCCACTTGCAGGGGTGGGACCAACCTTTCTGCATTTCCATCCCTCCTACCAGTCTCACCGTAGTTTCATCTTTAATTCTGTAGTTGTAGGACTTCCATTCAGCTTGATTTCTGATGGTTCTGAATAATTGTTCTATAGTTTAGCTGTAAATATGATGTGGTTGTGCAAGTAGGCGAGCCATGTTTACCTATGCCACTGTCGTGACCAGAAGTTGAAGACATTTTCTTATTATATTCATTATGTAGTATTTATGTAATCACAGTTGGGAGATATACTTTTCACTGTATAGTTTTAATAGACACACAAAGATACACTCAAAACTGAAATCAAATTATTTGTTACGCAAAAAATAGAAGTATAGTTACAGACACTAGAGGGTGCTGTGAGAGTACATTTCAATAGCTTCTTGCTGGCCAAATACTGTTAAGTATAGAAGTGGTTTTAAGGCATATTCAAAATTTTAGTTAGAGTATACTGTTGTTCATTTTCTTTTCTTAGCCTGCATCTATGGAGCTTCCAGAGGAACTGCTTCAACTCAAGGACTTCCAGAAGCAGCGCAGAGAGAAAGCCACAAAAGAATATAGGATGAATGCACAGGGACTCTTAATAAGGACAGTGCTGCATCCAAAGAAATCAGTGATAGACATGACAAGGAGAGAGCAAAAAGTAAGAAGTTTCTTACTTTGTGAAAATTCTAGGCTAGATAAAGCTCTAAGTTTTACATCCAATGAAGATGGAAATTTGCTGAAAGAAGAAGCAAAGAGTAGAAAAACAACAGCAGAACTTCCACATTTACCTCCCATAAAACAAGAAGCCCATGAGGATTCCAGTAACAAAATCATTTGCCCTGAGTCAGAGAGGTCGGAAGACCAGGAAACAAATAAGAAGGAACACCTGATGATTTTCAAAAAGGAATTTCAAGCAAATTTATCTTTGAAAGAGGAGATAGAACAATTACTGATGTTGGAAAACAAGGAAGATGTGAAATGCACAAAACAAGATGGCTTAGTGTCTCCTTCCCTTCCTCAGGAAACCAGAGTGTCTCCAAGTGACACGTTTCATCTTTTTAGAAAAGCTGTGCTTCCTACACTTCCTCCCTGTCCAGCTTTGGAGGAGACTGATTCCTGGATAAGTTCTTCATCAGATCTGCCTTAGAGATCTACAGTTTGTTCTGCAGGCCACAGACGTGGCTCATCTCCCTTACCATCACAGCTTTCCTCGGTGTTTAAGTTTCTCATGTTATAAATTTAGTTATGCCTCACTCATAGGCTTCAGGGGGAATTAAATTTTTAATTTAATTTTGTTTAAAGATTTTTGAAAAAATTGTTTTTACCTACCGATTTATTTTAATCCTCACTTGAAGCTATTTTTTATTGATTTTAGAGAGAGAGCAAGGGAGAGAGAGAGAGAGGGAGAGAGAAACATTGTTTTGTTGTTCCACCCATCTATGCATTCATTGGTTGGTTCCCATGCAACCCAGGATGGAACCTACAGCCTGGGTGTATTGGCATGGTGCTCTAACCAACTGAGCTATAGGGGTAGGCCTACAGGGGAAATGATATCCTCTTGCTTACTCCTACATTTCTGTGATTTGATTAGGATAGGAATGAGTAAGTTAAATAATGAAAGAAGTAAAATTTCTGATTGTGTCACTGGCAGAAGAAATGTCCCCAGTGGCCAGAGTGAATTATTTCTCATCACTTGGGTTTAGAGTGTTTGAAGAAGGGGAAAATCTTGGGTTTAATATTTTGAAGAATCTATGCTTCTATGTTTTTGTTGTGTTTTAGGGGCTGAAGAGGGCTGATGAACACTCTTAGCCGTAAGTTTAAAAATAATTGGTACCTGACAACTTTATTAGTTATTTTAACCTCTTAAAAATATTGACTTTAATTTGTCCGTTATATCTCAATAAAGCTAAAAATGTTAACTTTATTTTTGAATTTTGAATCCGTTGTCTTATGTCACAAACAACAGTTAATGTTATAGGAAGCAATGTTCTAGTTTTAATTTCTTTTCAGTAGATTTACTTTTATAAGATTTTGCCGATTTTTCTAACAAAGCTTGGGCTTCTTTTGAGTGTGTTTGTTATGTAAACTTTAATTTTGATTGCACTCTATTTGCTTGGAGTTGGTATACTGCCTTAGGGTGAAAGAAAGGCAGCTTGTACCATAACAGACTGCAGCCAAGGGGGGAGGGGCCCAAATGGGGATTTGTAATGGGGTCCAGAATTCAGGGTGTGCAGGCAATATTAGAAAAAATATATATATATAGGATGTTCTCACCCCCACAAGTCTGAGCTGGGGGATGGGATGCATGGAGTAGGGCCATTCAGAGTTGTTTTGAATAGCAACAGCTTTGCAGATAACCTCTGGCATGGTCATTTAACATATCTATAACCTTTAACTGGTTTCATAGATATGTTAAATAGCTGTGGCCCTGTTTGAGCCAGGGGGATGGGAGAAACTTCAACCCATGATGCAACTGGGAGGCAATTCCCCCTGGGTATAGCACCTGCATAAAAGCTTGTAGATGATTGACTCCACACCATGGGGCCATGCCTGCCTGGACTTACTATGGCAACCCAGTAAAGCTGCAAAAATATAGGAATGCCGGCAAGTGTAGCCAATTGTGGGAGGAGTTGGAAATGGGGCTGCAGAGGAAGATTGGTGCTGGGATTTAAACCCATGCTGGGGGGGTTTTGGGACCATGTGCCTTTAGCAAAAGTTTGGACCGTGTAGCTTTGGGGTGCTCCCTTTTTGCCATGTGGCTTAGGAAGCAGGAGAGACCTTGCTGGGAAGGAGAGGGGTGAAAGGACTCTTGCTGGTGGGCCAGGAGAAGGTGCCACATGGTTTGGGATTAACTGGAGATCTTGGCGGTGACACATCTTACGGTGCTGGGAACCTGAGCCACAGACTTCTACTTCTTTTCCTGAGATAAGGTCCCCTGGACTGGGCAGAGGGAGAAGGAAGGACTGTGTGTCCATAGGTGTTTAAAGGACTTTAGTATTTTTAATGAAGACATTAAGTTATACAGTCTCAAAGTCTGTATAACTTCTAAAATAAATACTCTCTTTCCTTTTCACCAATCTCTGGCATTGAGAGACGTCTTTTCCCGGCGGTGGGCAAGGCAAACATAGTAGTGAGGGGGGGACCCATGGAGCACAAGGGTGGGTCCATTTGGTAGTAGTATATCATTCTCTCCCCCAGCCTGGGTCTGTTCTGTAATAGTACCAACCCTTTTTTTATGTTGATACTTGCAAGTTGCTCACACTTTTGTGTACAGTGATCAGTAAACCTGTTTTGACATTAGGTTATCTCCTGTATTTCTTAATTGTTTCAGGGTAGAAATAAATTGGAATATGTCTGCATTTCTATGTTCAGAGTCCAGTTTAGAAATCCGTAATTAGACTTTTACAGGATTCTATTATTTATTGTACTTAGGGAAACATAGGGACAATCTATGATTAGGAACATCCTTGTCTGTATCAGCTGATTCAATTAGAAATTCCATCGAAAGCAGAGTAGTGCCCTTTCAAATTCTAGAGCCCAGCTCTAGTCTAAGGTTAAGATGAAGGCAGGCCGAAGAGCATCCAGCTCAGCCTGCATTTGCCATGTCTCACTGTGTCCTTAGTGTAGAGTCACTGGGGCCAGGGTGGTTTCTGGTTCATCGTGGGTGAAAGCAGCTTCAGATTGAGCCCAGAATGTGATTAATCTAGGTTTACTCTGAAAAGGGCATAAATTCCTATAACATTCCTGGGATTGAGTTAGCTTTATGGAACCATTAAGTTACCGCACAGTGTGTGTGTCTGTGTATGTATGTGCACACACACTCATATATCCTGGCTGCAAAGAAAAATACAGTATAGGATTCTTCTTTCATTATGTATGTTTAATGAGTACACTTAAAAAGAATAATAGGACTGTGTTGGACTTTTGCTGTGCTGTTCCATGTGATAGCCACAAGCCAGACATGGTTATTTAAATTTAAGTAAAGCCCTGACAGGTGTGGCTCAGTGGTTGGGGTGTCATCCTGAAAACCTAAAGGTTGTCCATTTGATTCCACATCAGAGCACATGTCTGGGTTGCCGGTCAGGTTCCCACTTCAGGGCATTTGAGCGGCAATTGATCAATGTTTCTCTTGCACATTGATGTTTCTTTCCCTTTCTTTCTCTCTCCTTTCCCTTCTCTCTATACATACATACATATATACATACATACATAAACTTAAGTAAAATAAAATTTAAAATTTGGTTCTGCAGTTGCACCTGCCATATTTCTGGTACTCGGTACGCCCATGTGTTCAGTGGCTACCATACTGGACATTGCAGATATAGAACACTTCTGCTGTTTCAGAAAGTTCTGTGGGCAGTGCTATTTGAGTACTTTAACTCCCAGACTAAATGAGTCTTTAATTTTCATTACCATATTTTGTCAGGGCAACACTCATGTTCTGGGATTGCATTTTCCTCCACATCCTCATCTAGCCTGGAGTGCCTACCTAAATTCCGTGTGTACGTCAGATCCTACCATGAAGTTGTGTCCTTTGCTAGATTGTAAAAAATCCCTGGATTGTTTAAGCCCTGTTGCTAGTGCTCTGTCCCTTTTCTCAGATATCTAAATTTGCCCAGAATTTGGAGAAATGTTGGGTTCTTATCCCAACCCATGGTCAAGTTCTTTACTGACTACATTTCTAGTTGAGAGCTCATAAACCATGCTGCCTGCTTTTCCAAACTCTTGGGGATTTGTTCCAATCTACAGAAATTTCCTGAATCCTACTCAGGTCTGACCTTTCTCATCTGATCTTTCTGTACATGAGCTACAATTAGATATTCTTACAAATAATCTGACCTTTTTAGTTTAGGAATTAGAAAACAGAGATGAATTACTTCCCTGAACAAAAATGCAGCACTGGGATAGAACCAGTGTTTCTTGCTTCTTGGTCCGTCCAGTGTTCTTTTGTCTATAGTGGGAAAATCACTGCAGCATCTTTGCCTCCAATCTGGTTGTAGGCTTGATAAATCCTCACATAATACAACAGAATTTTTTAAAGATACTAGCAAGTATCTTTTAAAACAATAGGCTTTATTGCATCTCAAGTTATAATTATTTGTTACATAATTACTAGAGATTTTATTCAGGGATTTTATCCTCTGCTGAAAATAGTTTGAAAAAATCCCATCTCTATAACACAATAGATTTTTAATGCTTCTTACTGCTTTAACACTAGGTTAAATGCCAGCAGCAAAATGAGATGAGGCCTGGGGCAAACCCAGGGAGCATGGGGGTAAATGGCCAGATATACTTACTAAAAAGGCATTTATACTGTTATAAAAGTAAAATACCTTACATGAGATTTAGAAAACAAAGAGAAAAAAATACTTATCATCCTACTTAGCATGTTGGCATTTTCTTTCTCATTCTCTGTACATAGGTACATATCTGATACATAGTCCCAACTATACAGTAAATACGCTTACTGTTTTTTTTTTAAGATTTTATATATTCATTTTTGGAGAGAGGATGGGAGGAAGAAAGACAAGGAGAGAAACATAGATGTGAGAACAATACATCATTTGGTTGCCTTCCTCATGCTCCCAAATGGGGACCTGGCCCACAACCCAGGCATGTGCCCTGACTAGAACTGGTGGGAATAGAACTAGTGACCCCTTGATTTACAGGCTGGCACTCAATTCACTGTGCCAAACCAGCCAGGGCCTTACTGTGCTTTTTATATCGTGTATTTTTCAATTATATAATCCTAATTACCAACATTTTTAATAGGTGTTATATTTTAAAATTCATATGCTATTAGATAGCATTTTTTAAATGCAAGAAAATAAGAAAAATTTACTCCTATTTCTCTAACCCGACAGCAAAAGCAGGTAACATTTTTTGTTAATTCCACTGTTAATGCATAGTTTTTTTCCTTACATGGTTGTAATCATATACACATGTATGTATCCTACCTTATGAATGTTTTCTTATGCTGTTAACCTTTGTAAATATTTTAAATTAATTACTATATAATGTTCCTTACAGGATGCAGTAGTTTTTTCAACTGTATTTTGACCTTTTGAGGTTGTTTCCAATTCCTTATTTACACATTTTTCAAAGCTTATTTCAAAGTTTCCCCCCTTGATTTGAATAATTTTGTTACAATGAAATTCCAGAAATAGAATGAGTAAGTCAAAATTTTCTCATTTTTGTTTCTTCAAAAGTTTTATAGCTCTTGCTAAGTTACTTTACAAAAGTGCTAGTCGATTATATTGCTGCCTTGAATTTTTGTAGTTATGAGGCAGCATTGAGAGCATTAGATTTTTTTTTCAAGTGGCATGGCATACTTTTGACTTTCAAAATTCTTCTTCATGCATAAATCTAAAAGGTTATCATTATTTTTTGTAGCTTACCTGCATTGGATATTATAATGAGTAATGAGAACATAATATTGGAAGTATTTGAATGTCTGATCTTTAAGGACAGTATTATGAGTAAATATTTAATCATAGGAACTCTAAAACCAAAGTCTATATACTCATGATAAAAGGTATCTTTGAAACATATTCAGAGCTCTCATCAGGGATATCACAGAAAATTTGTTTATTTTTATATAAAAATAATCTGAGCAAAATAAAACAAAGTTTAATACATTCTATTCTACATACTCATAGATGTGAGCCTTTGACTCTACAGTCTAATAGAGCTCCTTGAACAGGAAGTGCTGTCAAACTGTAATCAGGGCATAATGAGCAACCCAATCTTAAAATAACATAAGTCATTGCATAGTCAATGTCTAGA